AATTTTATGAATAAAAAAAATATAAATAAAAAAAATGTTAAAAATTTTTTTTTCAAATCGAGCTTTAAAATAATTTGTTGTCGAATTAATTAAAATTTAATATAATTACTGAATAACATGAAATTAATAAAAAAAAAAAAAAAACAAAAACAAAGGTATAATGTAATCTTCCAAAAGTTCCACAACCCAGCCCCCCTTATGTCAAAAATGTACAACCCGAGGAAACAACGATCTCAACTGCAATCCGCTAAAACCGAAAGCAAGAAACTTTGGGAAAAACATGACTCATCAGAACCTCACAAAAAACCCCATTATGAGCAAGAGACAACAAACACTCCTCAAGGTCCTGCTTTTCTTCTTTGCCCTTAATTCGATCTCCTTCTACCTCTACTTTTCCACCCGCCCCGCCGCCCACCACCGCCCTCAACTGCCGGAAAAAACCAACCAAAACCCATCTAAGGGTTCCTCAAGCCTCCTCCAGAAATCATGGCCTATACTTCCATCTTACCTCCCCTGGTTGTCCCAGACTTCTAAGGTGCGACATAGGTCTTGTGAGGCCTACTTTGGGAATGGGTTCACTCGGGTCCTTGAGATCATCCCACCGAAGGTGGCGGCGAGATCTGGTGGGGGGTGGTTCCGATGCCACTACTCGGGTACTCTTGGGAGCTCTGTTTGTGAAGGTGGGAAGATAAGGATGAATCCTGGGAAGATCAGGATGTCGAGGGGAGGAGAGAGATTGAAGGATGTTGTTGGGAGAGGGGAGGAGGAGGAGCTGCCTGCGTTTGAAGAGGGGGCATTCCAGCTGGATGGTGGAGTTGGGAAGAAACAGAGGAGGCTTGTGACTGAGGAATTTTTGGATCGGTATGTTCCTGCTGGAGATATCTTGAGGCACACCATGAGGGAGTTGATCGGGAGTATTGAAATTGCTGATGAAAAAGATTTTGATTGTGAAGAGGTTAGGGTTTTGGGTTTTTCCAAGTTTTGATCTTGGTTTCTAGTTCTGGATGAAATAAGTTAAATTAGTCTGCTTTTTGCTTATAAATATGATGCTTATTGCCTCAAGAATTTTGTTTCTATGGAGATTAGGGTTTTGGTTTCTGTAAGTTTTTATTTAGGATTTGGAATAGTATTTGGTTTTTGATCCTGGTTTTTACAAATTGGATTTATTGGTGCAAATGTTTTATCTTTTATTTGGTTCTTGATCCTTGGAAATCAGTTCATTAGAGGAGCAAATCTTAGCATTGAAAATGCTAACTTTCTTGTTAAAGTAATAGTTTCATAAACTTTGTTGAAAATGGAGGATATCGAGCTTGACTCAAGTTTTCTTCATTTTCCTCTACAAAATTGTCTACTTTTGTTAATTGTATGGATGCTGATAAGAAAACTTCTATTTTCAGTGGGTTGAGGAGCCTACGCTTTTGGTTACACGATTTGAGTATGCAAACATGTTCCACACTGTGACAGATTGGTACAGTGCATATGTATCTTCAAGGGTTACTGGTCTGCCCAATCGGCCGCTTTTGGTTTTTGTGGATGGACATTGTGAGGTATGTGTGCTTAAAATTCTTAAGTCTGTTGCTTCTGCAAGTGCTATTGATCATGCTTCTGTTGTAGCATTATTGTTGTTTTAGTAAGCTGGGACTTTTTTTTTTGGCCAGCTAGTAAGCTAGGAATTAGATATTAGTAGGATGAGGAAAAAAAAAATTTCAGCCAGATTTGAAAGGTAAGGAGAAGTCCAGCTTGTGCATAGAGAATGTGGAGCACCACCAACTCATATATACCAACAGAAAATGTCATTTCTAATCTTTAGCCAATGGAAATATATAGGATAACTTTATTAGTTTCACTTTCTGTTGGCCCTCTCTAACGGCAGATGCAAGTCTTGGTTTTCATGCATCTGCTCTACTATTTTAGGTTCTCTTCTTACTTTTGAATTAGTCTATATATAATATAGGGAGTCTGTCATAGCTTGTGTCTCCTTTTTAAATTATGCATTACAGGTTGTACCTTCCAGATGTAACCGATCTATAATTCTTCTCCTTAATGAGTTCCTACAAAAGACAGCAGCTTCTTCATCTTCTTCTTTTTCATTTTTTTCATATATATATATATATATATATATATTATGAGGATGTTTGGTTTATTTTACCTTGATTTTCTTGCAGTGAATCTGACATTCTGACACTTACTACTTTAATTGATTGACTTTGCTGAAAATTTTCAGACACAATTAGAAGAAACATGGAGAGCAATGTTTTCTGGCCTTAGGTATGCGAAAAACTTTAGTGGTCCAGTCTGTTTTCGCCATGTTGTTATAGCCCCATTGGGATATGAGACTCCATTATTCAAAGGGCTGACTAAAGAAATAGATTGCCATGGGGCACCTGCACTTGATTTATGGCGAAACCCTGATGACAAGAAAACTGCAAGATTGTCTGAGTTTGGAGAAATGATTAGAGCTTCTTTTGGATTTCCTGTAAATAGACATCGTGCTGAAAAGCCACTCTTGGGTCATAATATTCTCTTTGTTAGACGTGAAGATTATCTAGCACATCCTCGTCATGGTGGTAAAGTTGAGTCAAGACTTAGCAATGAACAAGAGGTATTTGATTCATTGCAAAAGTGGTTATCTAATCATTTTGAGTGCAAAGTAAACCTCATCAATGGATTGTTTGCGCACATGTCTATGAAAGAACAAGTCCGAGCCATTCAGGATGCTTCAGTTATTATTGGTGCTCATGGTGCTGGTCTCACACACATGGTATCTGCATTGCCAAAAACAGTGATTCTGGAGATAATTAGCAGCGAGTACAGACGGCCACATTTTCAACTGATTGCTCAGTGGAAAGGATTGGAATATCATGCCATTAATCTAGAGGGATCATTTGCTGAGCCAGCAGTTGTGATTGACAGGCTTAACAACATAATGAAGAGTCTTGGTTGCTAAGTGCTGACAATTTCTTTTGTGGTTTTGGATGTGATTTTGATCCTTCTAACCCGAGATGGGAATCACAAGTAACCAGGAATCCTTGATACAATGCTGCTTTTACCATCTCCCTATTGACTTGACATTTTTGCTCACTTCAAGATTCTTATCACACACTGTTGATGAGTAGGTATACAAGAAATTCTTTATACAGGTTTATTCTTCAGAGGAAGGATCAACTGGTGACTAACTTAAGAAAGGGGGCTTCATTAGTGAATGATTTTGTAGAAGATACAACTTGGTTTGAGAGAATACATGTACATGTATTGGCTAAAATATGCATTTAGCTCATCACTTTAGCCTTTTATAGTACACTATAAAACTTTTAGCTTCTGAACTTAAAAAGGTTTGAAAATTTTATTCTAGAGTAACGGAATTCGATAATTTTTCATTAAAGTGAAAGAAAAATATTTACAGGAGCTGTCTTAAAAAATTAAAAATATAAAAATTTAGTTCTAAAAGTTTAAAAATTAAAAAACTTAGTAAATTAAAAATAATTAGTGAATGATTTTGTCACATTTACAAAAATAATATTAGATATTTACAATTAAATTGAGTGATTAGTTAAATTTAAAGAAAGAAATTTAATTAAGATAAAAAAAAATTTTGGTTGTACTTTTTTAGCCTTTTGGATTTTTTTGTCATAATTTAGTTAAAAAAATTATTTAATTTTAGTCAAAATTATTTCTTTAAATTGAGTTAATTATTTCATTTATTATAAATATCTAATACTAGTCAGTGTGTGTAAGACAATTATTTATTATTTTTTTTAATTTTTTAATTTTTTAATTTTTAAACTTTTGAAATTAAATTGTTATATTTTTAATATTTGAGAATTAATCAAGTAAATATTTTATTTTCATTTTAATAGGGAGTTAACCGATTTCATTAATTTTGGGATTAAAATTTTCAAACTTTTAAATTTAAGGTTTTTTTTATATGTTGGTTGCATAATAAAAAATAATTTTGTTACATCTCTTATCTCTTTTCATCTTATGTTATGCAATTTGAATTTAGAATATTTTACTTCTAATGAAAGAAAATTAACATTAAATTATTTATATGGTTAACTTTAAATTTAAAGGTTAAAAACTTCGTAATAATATAAAATAGAAGTATTAGCCCCATGTCCTAGTGATTTTGTTCAAATTGAAGATGTAAATTTGTTGCATAAACAGAAAGAAAGCCAAAAAAAAAAAAAAAAAAGATTGGAGATGCGGGGTATCGATCCCCGTCGGCGTACATTATTTTTCATTTTTAAGAATTTAATATTTCCGTCATAATCAACGATATCCAGACTTCTTTTCCTTTTGCAGATCAACGCATTTTTATTTAGCATTAATACTTTTGATTCATTACCCACCATAATCATCTTCTTCATCTTCATGAAGATCTCAGCCATGGAAGAACCAGACGCCCGACCCTTCATCTAATAATACCTTCATTCATGCCAAATTTCCTTCCTTTTCCTGAATTGCATTTTCTT